ATCCAAAACGAAAAAAAAATTAAAAATGCAAAGCAGTGAAGCCATCATTCAGTTGAAAATTTTATTTAAATTTTCAACTATTTCGACACTGCAGACACTAAACAAGACAGACAGACACAACTACTGTCGAAATAGCAAAAAGGGGAGAAAAAATTCATTTTTTTTATCCATCATCATTCTGTCGTTATTTTTTTGTGGGTTAACTTTTTCCAACATCAACAACAATAACAACAACAACGGTTCCAAAAAAGAATCCTCAAACATCCTCGGTTGTTGTTGAATTGGCGGCGTCATATTGAATTGACTTGAATGAATGAATGAATGACTGACTGACTGACCGACCATACGGATATATTGAAAACAAACAAAACGAAACGAAAAAACTGTGCATCTTTATCATCATCATCATTATTATTACGACATCATCACGATAGTCATCATAAAGAATATATTTTATTTTATTTACCGCTTTTTTTTCGTTTCTACGAATAACCGACATTCAAACAGAATATGAATTGAATTTTGGAGTTGAAAAATGAAAAATCGATTTTTTTTTTGGTTGATGGCGTGGAGGAACGTCGTACGCACACACCAAACATACACGATGCTTTGAAAATCGAGGATAAAATATTTTTTTTTTTTTTATAGACACAGAATAACAAGAATAACCAACAACAATGATAGACTGAACAAGTCAACAACAACTGCTACTGATTATATGGATGATTTAGAAGAAAAGTTGTTGTTGTTGTTTGTTGTTGTTGTTGTCGTTTGTTATTGACAAATAATTAATTTATCAAAAACAAAAGCAAAAAAAAGAAAAATTTACTGTAAAAAAATTATTATTATTATCCACCATTGAATTGTTGATTATCTTTACTTTATGTTTTTGTTTTCTCTCTCGGATTTTATTTGGTTTATCAAGTATGTTTTCCAACTTTGTTTTCCGCTTCTTTCCACTTTCAATCTAATAATTTATTTGATTTTTATTACTTTGAATAAGAAAAACGATTATCCATCAATCCCCAAAGAGAGAGAGAGAGAGAGAGAATTGAAGAAGAAGAAGACTATTTCCACATAACTGATGATGATTTTGTACACATTTTTTTTCCTAAATAAAATATATAAATGATATTTTCATCACTCAAATATTTGGTTTTCTAAATGATGATTTTCTTTTTTTT